TCTTTCAATGTTTTATGTTTAATTATTATGTTATTTGCTAACTTATATTGCTATTATTATATTTATTCTATTTTACATGTTTTGTATTGTCATAATTATATTTATTTTATTTAATATATTAATGTTAATTTATTAAATAATATAATTTTATATATTGTGTTTTTCTTCTAGGTTAAACCCTCAATTTGGTCCTTCAACTATTGTCACGCCTTAGAACCCAAATCCGGGGACGTGACGGATGCTGTGCACTCGTGAGACGGGTCCCACAAGTGCACAAGGCTCGGAACTTATTCAATTCACAAAGTCTCAAGAATAAAATCTACCTTACAAAAGGATTATAAAATCTAAAACTTATATCCAATTAGAATGGCTAGCCTTCTACCTCGTCACTCCCCTTGGTTTCCCCGTCCTTAGTTTCGCTTCCTGAAATGGTGGACAAGGAAAAACTATGAGATAAAATATCTCAGTAAGTAAAAATATGAATAACCCTTGGTAAAAATTTAAGCATGCCAGATAAACCATGTAAGCATAACAGAACTTTCAATGATAAATCATTCATGCATAATAAAACTCATTAGTAGTCTCATCTATAAGTCATGGCCAGTGTTTAACAAACTCCCACTGGCAGGCGTCAGTAATGGTACCAGTGTTTAACAAACTCCCACTGACAGGCGTCAGTAATAACCAATGTTTAACGCCATTGGCAGGGTTACAGAAGTACCAGTGTTTAACAAACTCCCACTGGCAGGCGTTAGTAATGGTACCAGTGTTTAACAAACTCCTACTGGCAGGCGTCAGTAATTACCAATGTATTATCCCATTGGCAGGATTACAGAATGGACTGGTCATATCAGTAAAGATGTCGACATGTGCCAGTGTTTGCAAACTTCCACTGGCTGGCGTCAGTAATCATGACTATATCAGAGACAAAATCATGCAGGATTTACAGAAAAATTCGTAATTCACAATCAATCTCAATTTCAGAAATAAACTAGAAAATTTCATGTGGGCATGCTTAACTTCAGAAAAACAATGAAATTCTCATTTTCATTCCAATCCTGCTCAATTCCAGAAAATAATAATTTTCATAAAAATCAGCACCATTTTCATTTCAGTTTAATCACACTCAGATGTTGATAAAATCAATTTAAACATTGCCACCATCTCAAAAACAATTTAAAACATACTTTAAAATCGAAGGGTTTTACCATAATTTACTTACCTCACTCGCATAAAATCGAAGACTCGATCTCAGTGCTAAACTGACAGAACGATCAGGAACCTAATCAAAATATCCAAGAATTAATTACTGTACCACGGTTCCAAAAGTAAAATTACCATGACTACCCCCTAATCATGATGCTATTTCTATTAGTCTCCACATGACCAGACATCTCCAAATTTGTTCTTATATTACAAACTAATCATTTAATCCCCGTTAATAGTTGGCCATCAGTGCGTGAACAGTACCCGTGAACAGTAGCCGTAAACAATAACTATAACTTCCAAAAATTGGCAAAACAATAACTAATCTCACGGGATTTTCATATAAACATCATAGTAATTAATCAAGCTAATTCTACCTTAATCAAGCTTAAAAAGTGGTTTAAGGTTGCTGCAACATTTCCCAATCTCACGGGCAGCACATGGAGAGCATGGCTTTGGCAACCACAACTCACACACACAGGATTTTCTCTCCAGAACATTACAACAGCCTACTTAAACTAACTTCTACATGAATTAAGCAACAAAACACACTTAAAATGCTCTAATTGCTACCGGAATTCCTCCCCATTTTTCAGCAAATTTCGGACAATATAGGGAAATTCAAACAGCAGCTAAATGGGTGAAATTGGACTTAAAGGAAGCTGTCCATCATACTAGAAAATTTCGGCAAGCACCACCGGGTCCGGTTGGGAAGGAAGCCGACGAGGAGAAAATGGAGGGACTCACGGCAAAACTCCAGAAATTCAAGAACCAACAACAAAATTATATTAACCCAAGCCAAATTAAGAAAGAGAGAGGATGAATTTCATGGCTGTGACTTACCCAAAAAATGCTCAGAAATTCAAACCCACATAGCAACCGACGGACATGGGAGGAAGAGTAGATCAGATCCGAAAATTTTTGGGTTGAGAGAGAGAATTCTAAGCCCCAAAACAATATTTCTCCCAAAATAAGTCCCCTAACTTAATTGATAAAATTCCAAAAAATTTGGGGTATTACAACTATTGTACAGATCTTTGATTTGATCTCTATTGTTTATCAATTTGCCCCAAATTGATCCTTCCGTACAAAAAAAGTTGACATGTCCATTACTTAAAGGCGAAAAATAGTAACTTAACAATCACGTGTCACGTTAATAACGAGACATGTCAGTTTTTTTTTTTATATAAAATTACCAACTTAAGGCAAATTGGTAAACAATAGAGACAAAATCAGGGATTTTTTTAGTTCAAGAACTAAATTAAAGGTTCGTACAATAATTCAAGGACCAAATTAAGGATTTAATTTTTTTTTTTTTATAATTTG